CTATACGAAGTTATTACGCCTGGGTCGTTCAAATCCTGTATAATCGAAAACGCTAATAGTGTCACTTCAATTCGATTTCGATATATCGATATAATTCATTCGATTTTCGTAAATCGATAGTTATCGATACAAGCGTGTGGAAACAGTTCATACGAAACGATAGAACTTGCAAGATGGCCTCGTACTGAGAAATCTGTGTATTCGTGTATTCATCACAAGTTGCAATCATTGTAATCATTTAGATTATTGGAATTGCTGTGTGTAGTGATTTTGTGTTGCATCTATTAATTATCCACTAAACTTAATCATGGGGTAAGTGCATTGTGGTCTTGCAAGTTAATATTACAGTATCAACAGAGGAAGATCACCATGTCTCAATTTATTGAGTGAATTCAAGAGATTGAATACTCTCTATCTGTCATACAACACATTGTTTTACTAGAATATTTATTTAATATATATTGCAGCACATCAGATTTGGAAGGTCTCGAATGCAAGAGAGAATCTTTAGGATTAGATTCTGATACAGATGGAGTGTCTGATCAAAGAAAAAAAAAGAAAAGAAAACACAAGCATCATAAGCATAAGAAAGAAAAATTAATTGAAAGAGAAGACGAACGATTAGACAGGCAAGAAAAGTATAGCTTTAATGTAAATAACCAATCTGATAAGTGTATTAATTAAAATTACAATAATATCTCTTTATAGGCGAAAGCATAAGAAACATAAAAGACAGAGGAAAGAAAGGGATATGGAAAATGGTACCATGGATGAGAAATTAATCGCAAATGTGGTACATAAAGAAGTCGATATGAATGGAAAAACAAAAAATTCTGTATTAGAAGTTGTTTCTACGGAAGAAAGTGAAGATGAAAAATTAGTTGATCTAGATTCTGATGAAGTAGATTGTACAATCATAGAAGATGATATTGATCTTGAAGAGTTAATGAAACAAAAGGTATGTATGCATTTATAATTAATTAAAATAGCAAAACACACACACATACACAGATTCTGTATCATGTATTATATAACTGTTTAATTTATTACAATTTTATGGCATGAGCAGGAACGATTACAAGCATGTTTAGTACAATATCTCTCAGATGAATCGGAGAAAGGAGAAGACAAGGAACTACAAGAAGAGGAAGAAGTCAAAACAGCGGTAGAAACACCTGATGTGATACTAGTGGAAGACGATAGTGACACCAATGATGTACCATTGAAGAAACAAACTAGAAGCAAATCAGGTAGCAGAGAATGTAAGAAAATAATAAAGACCGAAAGACGTGTTATAGTTGATATGACTAGAGACAGGAAAACTCGTGAACAACACAAAGATAAGAGAAGAGATTTTGATAGGAAAAGAGATGAGAAAATCCGATCTAGAGAGGAAGGAAAAAGAGAAGAGAATCGAAAAGACGATAGATCTCGAAAAGCCAGTGAAAGACAAAAGGAGGATACAAGAAAAGATGAATTGAATAGAAAAACAGATGATGAACAAAAACGTAAAGATCTTATACGAAAAGATGAAACACGAAAAAGAGAATCAGATAGACGGTAAGTAAATGAAAATTGGAATTGCTTTTCTTACTTCAATAATCTTACTTCAATAATCATTGATATAATGTAGAAATGCAATTATATTTTGCATACCTCTACATACATACATACATATATGGATGCTTGTATATGTGTGTGTGTGTGTATATATATGTATGTATATTCACAATTTATGTTTATAGAGAAGAGAATCGAAGACGAGAGCCGATTCGTCATAGTCCAAAAACCCGTAATGAGGCAAAGAATTCAGATAATAAAGGTCGTGACAGGTTGGGAAGTCGTGAGCGTCAAGACAGCCGAGATCGCCACATTAGTCATGATCGACGCAGTCGCGACAGACCATCGAGCAGGGAACCTCGTCGTCATGCTAGTCGCGACAAGAGAGACAGTAGAAGTAAGGATCGACATGGAAATAGAGATCGACACGACAGTAGTCGTGATCGACGAGATAATCGGTATCATGACCATCGAATTGAAGACCGATCTCGCAGCACCGCAAGAAGATCACGCAGTCTTACACGAATCAGGTCGGAAAGAGAACGAAACGATCGATATAAAAGATCTAGATCACCCTCTCGAAATCGCAGAGATCGGGATAAGCAGCAAACCAGGGACCATGTCAGAGATCGCGAGAGAGATAGAGAAAAAAACAGCAAAAGAGAACGTAGCGATAAATATAAGGATTCTTTATCGGAAGGTCTTAAAGTAGAACATTCGGAGAGCTCGAGCGAAGAGGATATCAAAGACATCGATATCGAAGAAGAAGAAGATGAAGAAGCAATTATAGAACGTCGACGAAAACAAAGAGAAGAATTGCTCAAAGTAAGTAAATTATCGATCGCATATGTACATTGGATGCGTACATTTTATTATTGAATTATTATAATCATATTATCTTTTCTCTTCTACAGAGATTAGGTGGACCAAATGAAGACTCCAATATGTCTGCCGACATAAATGTTCCTGGTTCTCCGGAAAGCCAATCTAATATATCACAAAAATCTATAGAAGCTCCATCCAATAACAATGAATCTATTTTGGAAAGTCATACTCCACCACTGCCCACAGAAAAATTAGAGTCTCCACCTCCAGCCAAGAAAAGAAAATCTAGATTTGAGGACGCGCCACCAAATGAATCTGACAAAACCGGGAACATTAAGATGTCCGAGAGATTTAAACAGGAGGAAAAACAAACTTCAAAGAAATCGAACGAATGGGACATGTTTGCAGAAGCAGATAATATCGGAGATTTTAATGTATATATTATCTAATTTTTTTTTGTTAGTTTTAATTTATTCCTTATATTGTTTTTTTATTGGAATTATTATTTTTAGAGCCCCACACTTGAAGGAAAGCGTCAGGGAGGACCAGATAATCCTAGTTTAACGGATAATTGGGATGACGCTGAAGGATATTATCGGTTAGTTATATATCACTTTGCCGATGTTAAAAAAAATTCATTTAGAGACTAACATTTAATTTGAAAGCTAATAATGATGTAATCTAATTTTTAGCGTACGTGTCGGCGAAACACTAGATGCGCGATATGTAGTCTATGGATATACAGGACAAGGGGTATTTAGTAATGTTGTAAGAGCAAGAGATAGCGCTAGAGGAAATTTGGATGTAGCTGTAAAGATAATAAGGAACAATGAAATAATGTAGGTACAACATTTCTAATTTCCGTTCGATTATGATATATGAATGTTATTACTTTTTTCATTTCTCTACAGGCATAGAACCGGTTTGAAGGAGCTAGAAATCCTTAGGAAGTTAAATGACGCTGATCCGGAGGATAGATTTCATTGCTTGCGTTTATTTAGGCATTTCTTTCATAAAAATCACTTGTGCATGGTTTTCGAACCTTTAGCCATGAATTTAAGAGAAGTATGTATCACTGATATGCATTTATTATACACGAAATTTGAATAATTAAAACAATGTTATAATAATCTTGTTTGTTGGAAAATTGCAGGTTTTAAAAAAGTATGGCAAAGACGTTGGTTTACACGTTAAAGCGGTAAGATCGTATACGCAGCAACTTTTTCTAGCACTAAAGTTATTAAAACGTGCAAATATTCTACATGCTGACATCAAACCGGATAATATTCTAGTCAGTGAAAGCAAGTTAGTACTAAAACTCTGTGATTTTGGTTCCGCATCGCACGCCCATGAAAATGAAATAACACCGTACTTAGTTTCAAGATTTTATCGTGCGCCTGAAATTAGTAAGTATTTCACTTCGATTAATTATAACCCATTTCGTTATTCCAATTCTCTTTTTCGTTTATGTATAACGTTTAATATATTATTTATAACTTTTATTGTACTTTGTTTTCATCTGGAAATCTTCAACGTATATCGCCACTATTATTTTCGATAAATACAAATATCAAGTGTGTAACATCGTTTAATTAACGACGTTACGTGCGCATATGTTAGATGATTCTACTGATGATTTATATCTCGCAGTATCTGACAGGCATTCCTAGCAAACCACATACAGCGGCTTTGCGAGCATTAGCTTCAGCCTTTTCGTTTCACGCCAATAATTAGAACCGAAATAGGTAGTTACAATCATGACAAACATTTAGTAACAAAAAATTCAATTGAGTGCTACATATTATATGTCCTACATTTTATTACATACAGTCTATTACATTTTATTAATATGTAACTATATTTTATTGTTTAAATATTAGTTTAAAAAAAAAAAAAACAACATGCAATACGCGTGTTATAAGTTAACTCAAACATTCATGACGTTGAAGAAATGGTAAAAAATTGCATTTCAAATGGCTCGAACCGAAAGTAATATCGTTATTTTCTAGTTCTTGGTATACCATATGATTTTGGCATTGACATGTGGTCCGTGGGATGCACCATATACGAACTATACACCGGAAAAATAATGTTCTCGGGGAAAACGAACAACCAAATGTTAAAGTACTTCATGGATCTGAAAGGCAAAATGCCGAACAAACTAATTAGGAAAGGCACATTCAAGGATCAACATTTTGACAGTAACTGCAATTTCCTGTATCACGAGGTTGATAAAGTTACGGAACGGGTAAGTCGATAACAATTTTACCCATGATCTTGCCTCGCAAACGCGCGGTAAGTAACGCTTGTTTTCTATGCGTCACCGCCACCGATAAAATAGAAAAAAAAATTTTTAATAACGCCATATTTTTGCTAAAGATACTTTTGCGGTGTTCGTTAAAGAAATCACATAGAACTCACTATTGGATAATACGGCTTCTAGGAAAAGGTCGTCGTAATGTCGACACTGCCAGCGACTCGCGATCTCAGTGCAGAACTCGGTGGGAATTCATTACCACCAGAACAAAGTCGCAAAGTCGGACAATTAAAGGATTTATTGGAACGAACTCTGATGCTGGACGCGGGAAAGAGAATCACTGTGAATCATGCCCTGGCGCATCCCTTTATACAAGAAAAAATATAGGTAACCCTGTCCGGGGTCCTTTAGCATCGAAGAATTCACTGACGTAACTTTGTAAAATGCCGTTAACAATCCTCCCTATCAATGTTAAACGTTCCGGATTACGTGGTAGGAGCGCGGTATGTCTCTCTATTTCTCTGTCTCTTTCTATCATTCTCAACCCTTTTCCTCTCCCACCATCCAAAATATTCTCGTTTTTTTTTTACACTGAATTATGTGTATTCTATTCATAAAATATCCTAATCATTTAGCAGGAGGAGGCGGTACAAAATTTTATAAATCGTCTATCATGTAAAAGTTGCAATAAAGGGCAAATACAGTTCTGACATTGCACGAAACGTTATACTGCATGAATCGAAAAACATCATTTAATTGCGTATTATTAGATTGACAGAATATATGTAATATTTTTATACCTAATAATCCAATTATAATATTGGATATAATAATAGATAAACGAATTTCGTTATTACGTAGATAATTTGTAAAATAGTCTACTGTAACGTATTTACAAATTTTATCATTAATCAATAGACAATTATTTATCAATATAAAGTATAACGGTTCGATTTATATATATATATATCTCTATCTCAGTTTCCCCATACAAAACAGGGACCTGCCGATTTCCATAATTACATTGTGTATTTGTGAAAAAATGGGGATGAAAGCAACGACCGCCTCTTTCAGCACAAACTAGCATCAGATATCGGAAACTCAATACACATTGGTTCATAGTAGTTTCCTTTTTCCAATTCTCATGACTTAAGGAGCACGAGTCCTTATGAACAGCATCCTTTATAAACAATTAGATAGGTCGTGCGTTCATGTGAAATTGTACGTTATTTTAAAGATCATATTTCGAAGCGAGGATTCATATCTGTAAAGAACTGTAAGCCCCCTTGTGGATCACACTGTTCGATCCGTTTTAGAGTATTTCATTAGCGAGCATACGTGCATACAACATTTAGAAGCCTTAGTGGCAAAAAAATTGTTCTAATTGGAAAATAAATTGTATAGCAAATAGGTCAGTTATTGAAATAAAACTATACATAACACACAATAAGAATAATATCCTGCATTTTGTCTTTTCAGTCTTGAATCACGAGTGAATATGTCCAATCGAAATGTTTTTTACAGACGTATTTTTCTCTTTTTCTCTCGTTATCTCTATCTCCATTTCTTCATTTCTATCTTTGAAATTTGAACAGGATTACAAGTAGACACGTTTGATGAATCCCATTCTCTAACAGCGATAACATAATATGATAAATATACATTTGCGATAACAATGTTTAATATTTAATAGTATACTAATAGTCATATACACAATGATTGAAGAAAATGTTTATCTAATATTTCTATTATATATATATATATATATATTCATATATTTGTGATAATGTTAAATAGAAGTAAAGGTACAATTATTTGTAATGCAATATGCAAAGTTTCTAGTTAAAAACTCTACTAAAATGTTATAAGCGATAACAATTATTGAATAGTTATGTAGCAATCTGCTTTAAGTAAGTCATATCACTGCAGGTGTGGCACTTGAATTATTGATAGCGTCCACATTTCTCATACTCTACGATCTTAAAATCGGACTGTAATATAGAAAATTTTATGATTCATTTGAAATTAGAACCAAATATTGATGCTGTTGTGAATGGTTCATGGCATGATCTTGAAAATTACAAGATTGTACGAGACTGCTTATGTTTCAGATGTGTCTTCAATTCAAATCATCGTTAAGTGCGGTCGGACCTTTAGCGAGGGCCTTTAGCGCCGATCCCGTTACAAGGTATTCATGGGGGATTGCCTTATGGGATACTTAGCACATCCGCTTCTCAGTATACTATTATATGTTTAGTACACTTTATAATGACGAGGTCATAAGCCGTACGAAAGTAGTCTGAATCTTGGGAATGTATCCAATAAACTTTTTTATTGGAATATTATTCGAGATAAGATAATATAGAATTTTGATCAAGTGTTCCCAAACAATTTTTATATTATAATTATAGTATTTTAATATTTGTAAAATTAGTCTTGTAAAGTGACACTTGAAAAGAGTAAAATGTGAATGTAATACACGCGTTTAGTATTTTTGTTAAACGAGAGGGGTGATATAACAAAAATCGATCAAATCAAATTGTCGTGAACAGGAAAAATTTCTCAATACAGAAGTAAAAGTATACTACGAAACTACCATTAGTATGTGCTGTTCTAATTGGCAATTTGGTAATGTTTCACTTGTAGCCCTCCCTGTGAGGAGGGGAGGCAATGGAAGAGGTGATGAAAACAATTGATGAGGAGGAAAGGAAAATGTGCGATAATACTCTTGCTACCCTACATCGTGCCTACTACATTAAAGTACATGAACTGTCGCTAAAGAATTCAACAAGGTTTAGACAACGGTTTAACTAGATTTATATCCGTGCACACTAAGGTTTCTCTTAAAATTACGTGAGATCGCAATCGAGGACTCGTAAGTATATACACAGGTAAAGTACACGATTATAAAGATTTTAAGCGAAACTTTCAACTATAATCCAACAAACATTATTAACATTTATACCTCTATTTTTTCAAAATTGTTTTAATCGAAAATTAAATTTTTAAGCAAAAAGGCGTTAAACATTTATATAATACTAATATTTGTGGTTTTGAGTTTTCAGATATTTAAAGTCTACGCTCTATGAAAAAGCAAAACAGATGCGATAAATCCATTGTTCTAAAAAAACTCGCTCTACTTCCGTCCCTCTTTTCCTCTCTTTTTCTTTTTCTCTTTTCTTTTCTCTTTTCATAAGTGTTCGTAAAAAATATGTAGATATATATTAATGAATAAAATATTTATCAAACATCATAAAAATATGTATATCTCTATTTCCTTACAGTAGAAATAATATTTGTTTTAACTTTGGGGTTTATATTGAATCAGATGTGTAATCAGAGAGAGATCTATGACATGAAGTATAAAAGGAGATATTAAATTTAAAAACTTATTATACGTACATGTGACAGAATGGATTTGTTGCACATTTTTTAATATATTTTTAGAATAAAAATTATTAGTTATTTACTCTTTAAGAATATTAATTATTACTATTTAAAATCGCTATTGTTACTTTTATATAAGAATAGTAAATAAGTCGTTTCTTGTTTTATATATTATAAAGGAAAAAAATGTATAGGAAAATATAAATTCTTTTACACATCATAAGTAAATAAATTTGACACTTTATTCCTTAAGCCATTCTACAAAATGCTTTAAATGCTTTAAAAAGAAGTTGATAATTTCACGAATGTTCTTTGGATCTCTGATAAAGTTACATAGATACCATCTTTTATAATAGTACAATTTTAATTTACATTTCTTGCTTTTAGGTAATAATATTTGCAATATCTCAAACGATTTAATTCGTCTGGTATTCATGCAAATGTAAATTCTTTGCCTTCCATACAAAGCTTTCAAGCTTCTTAATCTCGTTCTGGATAATACTGAACTAATATTTTGGAAAGTTCTTGAGCTAGTTCCTTGGTTGATGCACACAGCGTTCTTCTGCTCATCACGTCAAATGGACCTCCTTTTGATGCAAGAATAAAGTAAATATTAGTTCTGCTTTAACGTGTCTATCTTTTATGCTTATTTCATTGAAATTTATGCATAATGTCTTGCAACTGTTTACCAGCTGGATCTATCGACACACCGCCGGCTTCTCGAACGATTAGATCTCCCGCTGCAATGTCCCATGCATGTATGCCAAATTCAAAACAAACGTCAACACCACCAAGAGCCACCATACACATATTCAAGGCTGCTGAACCAAGCGACCGCAATCTGTATACAATATGTAGATAAATTTTTTGCGAAGCTCTTTATACAGAAATGTAATTCAAAAGCATAATTTACCCATGAACACGTGCTGTAAGAAGCGTTATATTTTGTAACATTATTTTCAATTTTTCCGGATCTCTACTTGTTCCCATTTCCACCATTATTAGTGCCTTGCGCAATTCTGAAATAATATTAAATTAGATAAAGAGCTTATTGACTAGTCTAATACAATTTATGTTCCGAATACGAATATAAAATATATCTGCTAATGTTACGAATATATCTGCTAATATTCAAGAAACATTTTCAAATTTAGAGCTAATAAACAACGGAAATGAAACAATACTATATAACTGATACACTTCATTGCTTAATTTGATACATTAATATTCAATATTCAGTTTAGATTCCTACGATCTAACATTTTATTAGAAATGGAAAGCAAATTACCTTTTTCTTCGGACACGTGAATCGGAGCACCATTGAGAAAAGCGCCTTTTCCTTTGCGAGCAGTAAAAAGTTGCTCCAGAATTGGATTATACACTATTCCTATTTCCGCTGTTTTATTAATAAGCAGCGCAACTGATATGCATGTATGCGGTAAACCATGAACAAAATTCATCGTACCGTCGATCGGATCAATTATCCATGTAGGCGCATCCGTTAATTCTATCTTCTGGCCTGAAGCAGTAGTCTCTTCGCCAATAAATCTATTGTATATTTTAGAATATCAATATCAAAGTCGTATAAACTTTTTTTTATATTTATTTAACTTAACGTTTACAAAATCTATTTTTTTACTTTCCTTCTTCTGAGATTGCATTTATTATTCATTAAGATTAATAATTCAGATTTTTATTTTCGGCCGAAATAGAAATTGCATGTTAAATTTTGCACAAAGTTTACTATTAAGATTGTGCAATTAATTAATTAAAAGGGGTATACACATATAATCTCCAATTTAAAAGAAAACAAATTATAAGTACGATACTAATAATTATAAATATTTAATTAAACTTACTTATGGTCAGGATATTTTTGATAATACTCCATCGATTACAAGTTTTTCTACCTTTTGGTCCCATTCTGTAACCAAATCAACATCGCACGACTTTGTGAGCACATCTTTGGGTTGATAAATTTTTTCCCTGATAATCTACATAAAAAATATAAAATCTAATATTATACAGTTTAAATCTTTTTACATATAGTAATGGAAAATTAGATATTTCAATAATAAAATTTTTGAAACAAACTATTTATGAGCGTGAATAATTATATAATATAATTATTATATAATATCATCGATCTATGATAAGAAGAAGAAAAATACGATTCAAGAGGCATAGCTTATTTTTCTCGCGACATTATTTTTACACAGTGCAAGAATTATCGTACATCTACAGTTGCAGTTGAGTAATTTTCAATACATCTTGTAGGATTGTTTAAATTGAAAAAAAATCATTATAGATGTGCATATTACTGATATATCAAAATATATAATTTAGTTTCAACAATTGGTAACTGTCGCTTGTGTCAAATAAGCCGAGATAATGTCATGACTCACGATTGAAAAAAACATTCCAACAGCTGTAAAATCGATAAACCTCATGTACATATCTGTGCTACATCCACAGGATAGAGATAAGGATGCTCGCATCTTATCTTGTGTTTAATGAATCGACTTACCGAACCAGCTTGCTTCACGAGCCGCAAAATCTCAATGTAACATTCGTCGATATCCAACATGGTTTGTTAACTCTGAAGCGTTTTTGTCTTTATAGATGAAACTTTACTGTACACAAGCTTGTGCTTGCGCTCGCTCGCGCACAACAAATGGCTCCGCCGTGAGTCTGCTCATACTGAGCGATACTACACCGCTGACACTGACGTCAAGCTCCTTCTTTTGGCATTTCATCGGTTTCGCAGTAACGTAGTGCGTGATCGCTCGATACTGACTAACCGGCTGCCACACTCTACCACCACCACGGTCGCAAATCGATTTTCGTACTCTACGCAGAAGCAAAGAAGAATGCTAAAATAATACCATAAATTAACTAAGATATTCGCTACTTCTACATAGTAGGAAAGGAGGAAGAGAGTAGGTGAAAAATACATAATACATTCTTCAATGTTTAACAGAACAATCGTAATTATGACATTTTAACATATATACATATATGCCTATAATTGTATAGCCATATCTGTAGTTACGTTGCTTGTTTTATATATCTACATACAATCCATATACATGTATTGTTACATCTAAAATTGTTCCGCGAGGAATGATATGTATGTGACGTAACTCCCGAAGGGAGCACGAGGCAATTTTCATTCATAAATAGGTACATCAGTATTTTTTTTCAATCGCGTATTTCTTTAAATAGCGAAAAGAGATACTATCTCGAAGTCAAACTCGTCAAAGAATGTATAATTAAAAACGAAATACAGTAGATGCAATAGACACCCTGCATATACGCATAAATAGTTTGCACATATTATATACACCAAATTATAGAAAGCCTTTGTTATATCTTTTTTGCGATATCATTCAGTAGTGACGCGTACGCATCGCGTACTACGCTTATCTGTTAAATAACAGTTATTAGCAATTGTGCAACCAGCGATTTTTGTCTACCGTTTGCCATCGTGCTACTTGTTACAATTTATCTGTATTGAACATTGTATGTCTTGCAATTAATAATTTAATTGGACCTAACAAAAGGACACTTAGGCTACTTGTTAGCGTTGTTTATGTAAGATATGTATCGGCAGCTGTAGCAACTCTGAAGAGAGCCACCAATAATTTAGTCATCAATTAAGTCTATTAATCCTTTAATTCCATTAACAAGTTATTCTTTCGACAGGTCTCTTTAGTTTTCTTCGAGAAAAATTAATAAGAAACAAAAAGGGACATGCCGAAAGAATAGTTTATATTTCTACTCTAAACTTTCGAGTGGCAACACCAGGATCAGTTGATTTAATGAAAAAGATAAATACTATTTATGCATTTTGTACGTTCATAATTGTCAAATTGATGACTAAATAACGATAAGATCCTGGAATGTGCCTTCAATATTGTGCGAGTACGTAGATCGGCTCGATTCAATGTGCGATGTGCATTACTTTTATCTTATCCGATAATCGTGCAACATATTTTCAACATTCATCAAACAAATAACGCGAAAATCTTCTTCAAGATACTTTCATTTCCCTATAATAGGCTAGAAGCGCATTTATTTTAAATGCATGGTCTTAGTTCAAAGAGAAGTTGGATGACAGTTTCGTCGGCTAATGTCGACGTATCTCCGATATTCCTATCGCCTGCCGCGATTTTTCTCAACATACGTCTCATAATCTTGCCAGATCTTGTTTTCGGCAAAGCCGGAGCGTGTTGAATGACATCCGGTTGAGCAAATGGACCAATTCTTTCGCGTACTGTTCAAATCATACATACATTTTTAATTAACATACAAATCAAGCCGTGCGATATTTTACCAAAACTTACCTTTCTTTTTAAGCTCGCTTTGCAATTTTTCGTCAAACGTCTTTCCCTCAGTCGGTGTAATGAAACAATACAGGCATTGACCCTTAACAGGATGCGACTTGCTGACTACCGCGGCCTCAGTTACCGAAGAATGCTCTGCTAATACACTTTCCACCTCAGCTGTTGACATTAGATGACCGGATACATTCAACATATCATCGATACGGCCAGTTACCCATAAATACCCGTCTGCATCGCGTCTCGCCCCTAAAATCACAAATCAAAATAGAAATTAGGCGGATTCCAGTTTTATGCGGCTTTGTTCTTGATTTACAACTGATTAATTAATAACATTAAATAAATTTTAAAATAATTTTTACATAATATTAAATAAGCTATAAATACTTGAAAAAGATATTAGCAGACATCCTCATTAAATCCTGACATCGGTTTAAAATTGAAAAATTTAACATTTATTTTGTTCTGCTTTTGTATTTCTTTCTTTTTATTTACAATAAATCGCTCATTGTTATATAAATTACCTCAGACTTTTATAATACTTTCAAAATCGAGTTTTAATTCTAAACTTTTTTCGCATAATTAAAACAAAATCAAAAACTATTATTTCACATTTCTGAATCCATCTGAACTCAACTGCAAATATGCCTCTATGTTTCGTTGTTACGCAGTCAACTTGTGAACCTAACTTGTATATACGTCAACACTAATCTATCACTTTCATAGCTAAATTAAATTAAATAATTTCGCTGAAAATTGTCAGATTATGTAATCACTGTCAATTATGTAATCACTGTCAAAGGGCTGATATACGCAGAGACTCCTGTAAACGCAGGACTCGTATATCTACGAAACAAACATCCAATTCAACTCGATAAACGTCAGACGAATTTGAAAGTAACGAGAGAAATGACATTTCAGAAGATTAAAGCTCGTCAGGTATTTGACTGCAGAGGCGAACCGACCTTGGAAGTCGATGTGTCCACTAGCATCGGAACATTCAGAACATCGGTACCTTCTACTGTGGACATCAATCCAAATCAAGCACATGAGATCAGGGATGGGAAAGCAGATTATCAAGGTCGTTCAGTGTTCAATGCCGTCGATATTGTAAATAAAGAGATTGGTCCTGCGCTAATAAGATCGAAACTGAACGTTACTCAGCAAAGAAAGATAGACGAGTTGCTAAACAGTCTAGACGGTACGAAGAATAAATCAAAACTCGGCGCGAATACCATCCTTGGTGTTTCTGTAAGCTGTTGCAAAGCCGGAGCCACCCAAAAGGGGATCCCAATCTACAGGTTTCCGTTAATCTGCCGTTTAATTAAATTAATTTAATCAGTCATTTTTTCCATCGCTGCTTAATTTGAAATCTTGGTTGTTTGGATTTTAGATACATTGCCAAATTGGCCGAAAACGACCGAATAATACTACCCGTACCGTATATTAGTATGATCAACGGAGGGCAATTCGCCGGCAATAATTTACCATGTCAGGAGTTCGCGATACTACCAACAGGTATGCAAAATACGATCGAATTATCGAACTGTCCGAATACCGGTTACTTCTCGTGTATTTAATATCGTGAATTTAAGGTGCCCAGAGCTTTGCCGAAGCTATGAAGATGGCCACCAAAGTGTATCAAATATTAAAGAATAAAATCGTCGACACTCAAGAAATAAAAAGTCCGCTTCTCGTTAGCGATGAAGGAGCTTTTGCTCCCAATTTGGAAAACGACAGAGACGCCTTGACCCTCTTAAACGAGTCCATTATAGACGCGGGTCACAAATTTGAAATTAAGATAGCACTGGATATGGCCGCGAGCGCTTTCTATAAAGAAGGTTCCTTTATATTGCTCGAAATATCTTTCGTTTCGTCATCGACAACAGAGATCTAAACCCATAATTTGTATTCACAGGAAGATATGATCTAGCATTTAAGAAAGAGGATTCTGATCCTGCCAATTATTTAGAAGCTGAAGCTTTGCGAAACCGATATCTAGAGTATCTCTCGGAATTTCCAATAATCTCGATCGAAGATCCTTTTCATCAAGGTGATTGGGAAAGTTGGTTAACGTTAGCTAACCAAAACATTCAAATAGTCAGCGATGCTCTCACAGCGATGAATATCGAGAGAATCGGCACAGCCATCGAAAGAAATGTGGCAAATTGCCTCACATTGAGAATCTCGCAAATCGGCACTGTAACAGAGGTCATTGATTGTGCAAAAATGGCGAAAATCAGCAATTGGAATTACATGGTTAGCGCGAGCCGCGCTGAAACGGAAGACACTTTCATCGCCGACCTAGCAGTAGGACTCTCTGCTTGCCAACTTAAAGCCGGAGCACCTTGCAGGTAACGTGAATACGAACGAATATATGGAGAACGATGCTCAGAGATTCAGTTTTAAATCGATTCTTGTTGCTAATTTACTTTTTTAATCTTGTGTATTCTCATTTAGCGCGCTACGCGCTTTGCAATTCGTAAAACTCGTATCTACTCAGCGCTTTGCTAATTACAGGGGTGAAAGGATATCCAAGTATAATCGGATATTACAGATTGAAGAGGAACTCGGCAGAGACGCAATATACGTTGCACGCTAAGTCCAGCTAAGTACGCTAAGTACGCTAAGATATCCTCTAGTGAAATAATATTATTAACTAAAAAGTGATCAAATAAACACTTGAAGAAGTGAACAATGCACTTACCATCTCCCGTGCAATAAAATCCATTAAATCGATCAAAATACGTGTTTTGGAAACGTTGATGATTTCCGTAGAGAGTCCGCATCATGCCTGGCCACGGTCGTCGGAAAACAAGGTATCCCTCTCCTTCACCCTCAATTATGTGACCATCTTCGTCAAGAAGCTCCGGTAAAACCCCGAAGAACGGAAATGTCTACATTCCGTACATTAGAAATGAATATTAATTGTGAATAAATTATTAACGAAAAATTAAGGAAAAAATTGCTTACCGCAGAGCCTGGCTTCATAGGAGTGGCACCCGGTAGCGGTGTGATAACATGACCACCGGTTTCCGTTTGCCAAAAGGTATCCGATATGCTACATTTACCATGGCCGACGAGATTATAAAACCAGAGCCAAGCCTCGGTGTTGATCGGTTCGCCCACTGAACCAAGGACCTGTAACGTATGTACATGTTAAACCGATTCCGATTAAAGAATAAAGCGCAATGAGATTCACCTTGAGTGTAGATAAATCATGCTTCGTCACAAGATCATCGCCAAATTTCATAAGTGATCTGATAGCTGTTGGTGCCGTATAAAATTGCGTGACCTTGTACTTATCGACAATTATCCAGTATCGATCGTTCTCCGGATAGAAAGGTGTACCTTCGAACTGTCAACAAGAATATATATTACTAAGAATAACAAAGGTAAAATCGATGAACGATCTGTGTGAAAAAACGTAGAGAATGTATACGTACTATAACAGACGTTGCGCCATTTGCTAATGGACCGTAAACCACGTAAGTGTGTCCTGTGATCCAGCCGATATCGGCGGTGCACCAATAAATATCACCCGGATGATAGTCAAAGACATATTTGAAAGTTGTTGCTGCATAAATCAAATATCCCGCTGTGGTGTGAAGAACGCCTTTCGGCTTCCCCGTAGAGCCGCTACATATAAAAAAAAAGTTATTTCAGCGAGAGCTGCTCGATTCTAATATCTATAATTTATTCTATCAATCACGGTGATTCATAAATACATTCGTACCTCGTATACAAAATAAAAAGCGGGTCCTCGGCAGCCATCCAAACCGGGTAACAGCTCGCTTCCGCGTCCTCCATCTCATCGTGCCACCAAGCATCTCGATCGTCGTCCCAAGAAATATCAGTTTCCGTAGCGTTACCGTTGCTTGTACCGTTTACTCCGTTCACTTTACCTTTAGGATTGCTAAGCCTTCTCAAATGCGCAACGACGATACAGCTCTCGAGTTGATGGCCGTGCTTCTTCACCTTATCCAAGGCTTCGTCGCAGATGTTTTTCAGGAGAAGCAATTTCTCGCCTCTCCACACGCCATCCGTAGTGATTAGAACTTTGGCTTTAGAGTCAAGTATTCGTTCCGCCAAAGAATCTGACGAATATCCTGCGAACTGCGATCATACATTGTCTCTTTCTTCTTGCTAACTTTATCAATGTTTACTTATCAAACATTGGCGTTTACTCACCACCACGCTATGAACCGCCCCTATCCTCGTACAAGCCAGCATAGCGATCGGTAACTCCAAGATCATCGGCATGTAAAGCACCACTCTGTCCCCCTTCGAGATACCCTTCGACTTGAGAACATTCGCAAACCTACATGTTTCCTCGAGCAGCTTTCTATATGTTAATCGCGAATAATCTTCCGGATCGTTTCCTTCCCTAACAATAAATAAAAAATAGATTAGGCGATATTTGTTGTGTCCTCTGAAAATTATGATCTCAATACATTTTTCTTATAAATATTACATAACACTAGCGCGATTCTTACATGTCCATTCTAAATTATTTAATTTATTTTTGTGTTCTGACCACACATGATTTGAGCACATATGTAATTTTTCCACATCCTGTTCAGCAATCTCTCACATACACAACACACATACACACACACACACATCTATCAGGTACCGTTTCCGGGTTTTTATATCAATTCATATAATCTCTATTCCTACTCTTCCTCGAAAATTTTTTATCCTTGTTTTATGATTGCCTTTCTTACTTACCTTTTTTTATAAGTTCCAAGGAATAAAAAAAAAAGAAAATATTAACGATCTCTAATTACTACTATAAAAAGTTACTGCTCTTCAAAGATAAACAATAATAATCAGCTCCGATAATACGCTTTTAGTTCTTATTGCTTGCTCTATTATTGATTGACACTTTAATTACGCGCATCATTTACGCTCGTACATAATAAATCACTTAACACGCAAGAGAAAAATAGAATGGATATACATTTAATTATTCTGTTTAAACGTCAACAGTTGTGGTGGTTTTAAAAAAATAGTTCAACGGATAAGAAAAGTCAAGCTTGAAAGTAATATATATTTATATCATACGATCACGCGTATCTAAAAAATTTTTCATGAATGCATTCGTAATATGCTGATGTATTAAGAATTATCATGAAATGAATTACTTTTCTTAAAGTCAAAAGACCACATCTAGTCGCGATAGAACGTGGATAATTAGGAGAAGAGATAAGTAAAGTGATTAATAAAACTTATTGGACATTGTTACTTAACTGTCATTGAGCTATTACTTAACGAAGCATGATAATTTACGATATGTAATAAAATTACATGTGATCTTCTCATGTAAAATAACTGCCGTTATAAAAGACATAACGATTAGCGATACTTATGAACATGAATCAAGTATATTGAAGAATCAATTAATATTTAATTTATTAAATTAGTATACACGTATTGTTTAGCGATGGAATTCGATTGCATTTATTTCCATTTTTTGTAGTCCGCATACGCGATCGTGACACAAACTAATCTTAAAGATATTATCCTTCAATGTCGTTACGACGTGAAACGTTTCATGTTTGAAATGACCTTCATGCTTGTTTCCTCTCTAAACTCGCTCAGAACTAAGCGATAATTCATGTGCACATCATTAATATATTATTTTGTATTGAAAGTAGTCACAATTTAAATTCTACATTTCAATTTAAATAAATTTTTATGTTATTTTACTTTTTTCCTACACCTTACTTCTTATCAATACTTTTTTGTTATTAATCGACAAATATAAACATCATTTTTTAATTTTATTGTATTTATATTATAACAGGCTCGACTTTGTGAAAAAGTATATCTCAAGTAGCTTATCTATATTCGACCGCAAAGCAAGATTCCTCTATCGAAAATTTCAAATCGCGTGACTAAAGCATGCTTCTTTCTCCGTCGCGCGCGTGCAAAGCTGACGCAACAAATGACGCGATCGCGCGCGATATATTGTGAACCAATGAAGGTACAGGTATAGACTAAAACGAATTTTTGTCAAATAGATGAACATTATCCGACTCGATCATGCAATCGATTACATAATTTTAATATTATATTCAATGCAAATTGTGTCATTTACAGTGAAAAGACTACCGTAACATTTCGATTATTTCGAAAGCATGGATTCTCCGAAATACGCAACATACAGTACCGGGTTAACGCTCTTACATTATCGATGGTAATCAATGGTGATCGGTAATCCAGTGTAGGTCGGCAGATGTTCAATATGTATGAAGCGTGATAACGCGAAATATGCGCTTCTTCATTTACGTCTTTCACAGATATGTCGAATTTATTAATTTATTTTGTGAAAAAATTTCATTAAAAACTATTAATAAAAATTAATATCATATTTGTTTAATGTCGCAACAAATAATAAATATTATGCAATTTTACGCGAATTAGAGTAGAGTTCGAATGACTTGCGTCTACGATTCGTGGGTATACTTTGTATGAAAATAAATTACCAAACATTTGGCAATCGGTCTCAGACCATTGTCGAAATTGAGGTAGGTGTCGATCGTATACAAACCTCGCTCATTAATAACACCTATGTCAATAATAGCCTATAATTAAATTATGTTACTTGTCTTACCAGTAAAACGCAATTTTATCACCATTTCCGCTTTTCACATTCTTATCGAGTAAATTGAAGCTTATGTTTGTCGATGCTCCTTCCATCCATTTTATAAAAATGTCTCCTTTACTTAGTTCAAAATTGTATGAGAAAAATTTGTCGTCTATCGCTGGTGTTTCCCAGTAAAATTGCTTAGCGATTTCACCCCAGAATTGCACAGGTTCCTTTATAGATCTAAATACAGAAAAACATTCCAAGTTATATCATTATGATATGTCTTTTTATGCATGAAAACACTCAATAATTTATTATTTTATTGATGTATAATTATTAATAAGGATAAAACATCATTAAAATATAATATAAGTGAATTCGTATTTGATGAATTGACACACTTTTTTTCTTTACATAATAATTTCCTTTTACGTAATAATTTTCTTTACGTTTTATTTACAAATTTATGCTTTTGGTATCCGCAAATTATGCATATTGTTATTATCATTTCCATATTACGTCGATCAGTTCGTAGTTCAACGAAATACATTATGGATAAAGAAAAGATTTTTACCAAACTAAAACTGTAGCAGTTTTTTTAACAATTCAAATTTAGAAGACCAATTGTTTGTAAAAACTATAAAAGTAATTGAAATAAAACAAGAGATCTTTGCTCTTCGATATATGATATAGCTTTTGAATGCAAAAGATTCGATTAATGCAAAGATACGGAAGAGTAACTTAAAAATAAAAACTAAAAAGTTAAAATTAAAATATAAAAAATATTAATATTATCAAAAGATAAAATTTGTCGTATTTTTAGTCGTCCGCGGAGGAGCGCTTCTTCCTAAACTGCAAAATTTGTCCCACCCTTACGGGATCGATATCGCGCTTCTATTCGTGCTCTTTCTAAAATGTACAGACCAAAATCCGAAATTAATTTCAATACCCGAAACATTATTGACTTCATCTAATACGCAATTCATCTCTCTCTTTTTATGTATACACACACATATATATATATATATATATATATATATATATATGTATATATATATATAAAAGCATGACATTTTCTTCCTTAACAACTTCGATCGTTCATGTCCTTTAGAATGTTTAATGTGATTCGACCGTTTCTTTTGCTTCTCATATCACTGATTTTAATTCAACTACAAATGTAACAAATAAGTAAATTATTTTAATTTTCACTGTGTGTTTTGTAACATTTGCATCAATGACACGCGGTTTGACATTTCGATTTTCGATTCAACATTTCGATACTGAAAAGAACGATACGCAATGGTACACGTACCTCATTTAAATCTCATATTCTTGCTTACCTTTCATGCATTTGCTTATATTGTTCCATGCTGTTGCAGTGCGCTTCGCTCACGAGCTCCGAATTGGGGTAGTATATTTTATCCGCCATGTTTCAACCCTCTTTGTTCGTTAAAATTTTCGGCCTGGCACAAGTGATGTCCGTAAAGATAAAAAGCGTAGTGTTCTGTAATTCGTCGGTTACAGAACGTCAAAACCGTGGCGTAACGCGCGGGATGGCGTAAGATACTGGGGTGCTGCAAGTAAGCTCGTGCACACCACCACTTCGCCGGCCTAGCCGATCAACCGCAACTGATTCTACTGTGCGAACGCGAATGCGCGCGACACGATTACCGGAGTAGTGAGGGAGTGGTGTAAGCAGCGCCAGGTTACATCTGACAACATGATGTTCACACTACTCTTTAACCGCTTTAACAGTAATTAACAGTTTTCATCAAACAGTAATCGTCAACAGTTTTTTTTTCATCAAAATAAACAAATTCCTATATTATGAATGCATACTCTAATAATCTGTAATTAAAAAATTGAAAATCTATTCTTATACCTAATAACAACTCATTGTTGCTATAACAAATAATTGTTGCTAATTTCAAACAGTGAAATCTTTAATTTCTGTCGACTAATGACAATATTTTTCAAGTAAATGAACTGAGAAATATGTATAGCCATTCCGAATAATCATAATGAATAAAGATTTCTTATTTATATGTATGTACAAAAAAAATACAAAGAGCAAGAAAGATTAAAGACTGCGTTGACACATAAAGTGCTTACCATATAAATAGAATCCATGTAAAATATGTAAAATAGAAAATATGCTTGTACATTTTGTCTTTCAGTTTCATTTAGTCGCTTCCAATCGCTATCGTCTGAAAGAAAAATGAGTCATGTAAACGATCTAGTAGTACAGAAATCACTAGATAGTCAACTCGACTGCTTTTATTCTTCTTCTGATTATGGCAATTATTGATTGGTGGCTATTAGCACCATATTGTTTATCACATTTGTAAACAATTTTCTGATTGATGCTAGTCATTTACAAGAATGGTACCTCTGTCTTTATTATAGTTCGTCGACAAGTGTAACGGTTGGATGCAGTGATGCGATATTTCCCACAGCGGTCCCGGCTCCGCTGCCTCAGGCCGGCGTCACATAGGCCGGTATTCATAGTCCGTTCTTATATTCAAGATCGTCTTAAGCACGAACTTATATTCGCTCTCTTCGTCAGACACAATCTATGTGTGACGAAGAGAGCGAATATAAGTCCGTGCTTAAGACAATTTTGAATATAAGAACGGACTATGAATACCGCCCATAGAACCCGTAATCCGTAATCCGCACCGAAAGTCCGCAAAAGTTACTAGGGATTGCGTCCGTAACGTTACGTGTGTTTTATCTCCTTGTGTCCCATGGAGCCGTAAATACACACGTAACGGTATTACTATTTTTTACGGGTTCTATGTGACGCCAGCCTCACACAACCTTACAGAAGCGCTACGTCACGTATCCGTGTGAGCTCGGCCGTTCAACCAATGGAAGAGAGCGAACGCTCCCTTCCACCGAGCCGACACAACAGACGATAAATGCATGCTACTTGCATGTTAAAAGCAAGCGTTTCTGATTCAGAAAAGAAATTCTGAGGCGAGTGGCTGGAATATTAGAGATCACCTGTTCGAAACCTGCTTCGTGCAACTTTTTTTTCTTTTTTCCACATTTGTTTCTAACATAGTAAATTATTAGATAATATTTTTTTGCCCAAAAAAATAATATTTTCTATTTATTATTAATATTCGCATATATTAAACTAACAATTTTAGAAATAATACAGATCTGCTATTGTTAATAGAAAAATGAAGTTATTTTACAATGTTGCAACAAAGTGCTAATTTAACATATGCGAATATTTTTAATAAAGATAAAATAATTTTTTTTTAGCCAAAAACATTATCTAATAA